CTGCTCAGTTGGGTTTGGAGTTTTAGCTCCAAATATAGAATATTTGCTAAAATACTGAATGTTTTATTTTAACAACAGGAGCATAAATCACTTTACAACCACCAGGTGAGACAAAGTGATAGGTAGTGATGTTATGAGATGAGCCGAGGCTTCGAGGCGTGTGTCGAGTAATGGAGTGGGCGTTTCCCCGAAGCGCGTGTCGAGGCGTGATTCATTTAGAGGAGGGGCCAAAATTGATGACGTCCGAGGCCTGCTACCGTGATACCACGTGACCGCCTCGGGAGATGGTTCAGAATGCGCAAGAATTTTGAAAGGCATCTAAACAGCCTCAGTGTTCAGTCAAGATGTGGGAGTTTGGAGGAGAGCTGCTGTCAGCTGGATAAAGTTTGGTTGGAAAAACAACCAATCTAGTTGCTAATTTGGTTGGAATAAACAATGTAATGATCAAAATTTGGCAAACCACCAGACAAAGCCCGCGTTAACACGTCAGTGTTAAGAAGTATTTTCTCCTGAGTGACAGCATCTACATAGGTGGTGTCAGCTGTAAGAGTCAGGCTCCCACGCTCGAGGTTGATGGTTCAAGACCTGTCTTTGACTTTTGAAAATTTCGCTTAAACTTAATTCTTTTGGCTGATGAGACTAATATGCATTGTTTTGCCCGAGTAAAAATATAGATTGGGTAAATTAGGTCGGTGCAGCCAAAAGATTGGTTGAACACAACTTCCAACCTGATTAAAACCAAAAAACGTGGAAAAACTATCATGTTTGAATAAAAATGACTAACACCTTTCATTTTGCTCATCCTTAGCCAATTTGCACAAACACTGTCACTGTCTGCTTGAGTTTATTTCACTAAAATGGCAGAAAAATGGTTCACCTTAAATTATTGTTCTAAAAAATTTTACACATAAAAAAACTTACAAAAGATTGTATTATACACACCAACCATTAATAATTCCAAGGGGACTTAAAAGGGGAAAAAAAGAAAAACAGTTGCAAAAAAAAAATAAATAAAACATTTTATATCAAACTGTAGTTCTGCTTTCCACCAGTAGGTGGTGACATGTTCACATGAAGCCTCGTGAACTGTGGGGATCGTTGAAGCAATTTGGCCAAACGGTTCAATGCCTCATGAGGCTTCATCTCACCATCACTACTGATAGGTGTATCATGCAGTGGGGAAGTTGATGGGTGGGTGAAGGGCAAGTAATTTTAATTGGCAGCAAGAAATTGTGAGAAGTGCTGTGTGTTGT